TCTGGTGTCACGTGCCTAGACACTTCTGGCTAGGGAAGGGGTTGTCATGGCCCTGGGCCTTTTACAAAAAGTGTGTTTTTGTAATTTCTGCCCTGAATCTGATCTATTGCTGGGATGGAAATGGTTGTCCAAGGTGAGGCAATGGGAAAGAGGATGAAAAGATGACCTCCTGTCATCTAAGTAAGTACATTAGTACTTTGCCTCTCCTTTGCCATTGCCAAGTTCCTGGAGTTGTTAGTTCCACTGGCAAGTGTTTAGATTGCTTTTAATTGGCTTCTTTTTTGATAAAGCCATATTAAGAACCCAAGTCCACTTCTCTGCCCTTCCATCCATTTTATCCTTGTGTGTTTCTGAAAGCTGTTACAGTGCAGAACAGCAGCAATGCCACAGGACTGAATTACATAAGTCATTTGGAAAGTAGTTTTAGGTCCTACAGTTTGAAGGCTGTAGATCTGTTAAGGTTTTGCTTTTGTTTTTATATACCTTGAAAAGACAGTACAAGAAAGGGGCTCTTCCAGTCTTGTCTGTTTTGATGTCCTCTCCCCATCTTTATTGGAGTACAAAGATATCTTTAAAATGGTGGCAGGCCTTAAGTTCCCCAGGTGACTGTTACACTATCATCATTGTGGTGTTGTATTTTGATCTTCACTGTAGTGCTGTGATTACTGGGGAGCAGGTGTAGGGGACTGGTATGGATTTACCTGTAATGACTGGTTGGGAGATTTTTGTCAACTTTTCTCAAATAAAATTTCTTTGGGGAAAAAAAAAAAAAAACCAAAACTCCGTTGTCCTCTGTGAGTCTTGTCCTCTCTGTGCATGTACATTCCTACTGACTGCTGTTTCCTTCAAGCTGACCTGTCACAAGAAGCAGCAAGTAAGTATACAGACTCTCTGCAAGCCTCTGGGCTTACTAGCAACAATTAATTTCTAAAGGTTTTAAGAGTTCTGGACTTGGGAAAGATACTGGCTTGTATGGATTTTTCTGTGGAGTGGGACCAGCACAGCAAGCAAGGTGCCTGTAATACAAGTTACCATTTCTTGCCTTTCTTCCCTCGCTTCCTAATTATATATCTGTTTGGAGGAATCTTGAGGCTGGTGGTAGAACAGGGCTGGTGATCTAGAGTACAAGATCCAGTTTTTCACCATCAGCTCCCATGTCAGATTTAATTCATTAAGACAGATGGAACTAGTTTCAGTTTTGTGGTTTAGATGCAATTTTAAATTTTTGCAAAGATGAGTTGGTCCTACGTGAGTGGCAAATGCTCACTGGAGAGTGGTTAGGTATTTACCAAACTGCTGTCAGATCTCCTCTGCTGAGCCTGCAAGCCTTTTGTCTTGCAGTAGCCAAGTGAGATATATACTCCAGGTAACAGGACTGGGGGCATATGAGTACTACACAATGGGTTAATATTATCAGGGAGAATTTCAAGAAGGGAAATTCTCAGATCTTTGGATAAGGATTAGCCTTTGCAAGTTCTTGGATGAACATTCTTGGATGAATGTTTGCGTATGTGAAATGGTACAGCTGTTCTCAGGCAGGGGGCTGGTGGTGAGTCGGGGCCGTTTCGGAGGGCTGCGGATGTAGAGCTTCTGTCTTCGTTCTGTTTTACTTCTGGGAAATGGACTAAAGTTGAGCTGTTGTAGATACTTGGGTCTGAGCCCATCTTTGTGTGGGACAGATGCATCGCTGGTAAATCTATAATTGCCTGTAGCAAACTGCATCAGACGTTTCCAGCCTCTTCCACCCACTTGTCAATGTGACTAACGATTTAATTATCACGCTACTTAACAGAGCTCGTGAGCATTCCTAAGGAAGGTTGAGCTTTGTGTCCTCCCCCTCCTGCTATGCCAGTGTAGGCTGCACCCTGCACCAGGCGCCTGCTGCAGCTGCTGTGTGCGGGCACGTGTAAGGGGATGAACATTTTACACACTGTTGCTCATTTCTTACAAGCTGCTCAGGTATGTGAGAAATAACCCAAGTGTACAACGCCTGTGCTGTCTCCCAGCTGGCACATCAGGGACTTCTGACTCAAACTAGTTTGGCAACTGGTTGGTGAGATCACGGGGCGATTCTTGCCTGTGCATTTCATGGGATCCTGTGGCAGAGGTTTGGAAAAAAACCTTTTGCCCCTGCCAGTTCTCGTGATGTGTTTCTGTCTCTCATATCTTTCGATGTGTTCCTCCACTGTACCTGTCTTTCCTGAAATGGCCTTGCCCTTAGTGAACAAAGTCTCTTGGAAGTGAACTTCCCATACGTTCAAGGTGGCTTGTTGGTCAGGAGAGAAAACAAACTTGAAATGAAATGGATGTCATCTTTCACAGGAGAAAAAGTCAGGTATGGTGAAGACTGCAGGAGTTCGGGGTTGGTAGTTTTGTCTGCTCTCCCTTCTCTGACTGACAAATTTGTCAAGGCTTGTGCTTGTCCTATTGTTCCTCCCCCAAACCAGCGGTGGTGGTGTGGTGGCTCTGTCAGGCATGCCTTTCTCAGTGGAAGGAGCAGAGGATTTAGAAAAACTGCCTGTTGGTATTTCTTGGACCTTTCTGTAAACCTGAAACAGGCGAGCCCAAGCTTTTTTCACAGCACTAAGATGCTTGTATTTGTATTTGGTCAGCAGTGTTTGTAGGAAGCTTGTTTTGCTCTGCACTGGAAGTTTGTTGCACTGGCAGGAGCTGGGAGTTTCTGTTTCAGCTGCAGATGAACTGGCTTAAACTTTCTGCAAAATGGCAGTAGCAGATGCCTGACTGCTCCTCCTGCTGCCAGAGGTGCATGTGGTTTATCACCCTGAACTGAATGCATTAGCCTCTGCACTTCCAGCTTGCTGACACAGCCTACCAGGGGACCTGTGGTCTCCAGGTGTCTGTCCCAGTGATCTTTGCTATGAGGACCGTTTGTTTAGCTCATGTTTGGAGAAAGGTGCTGTGTCCTAAAGGACCCATCTGACTCATATGTCAGTTATTGCAATAAAATGTACGTGTTGAATAACTTCCTTTGAGGCGTGTTACTCAAAAAAGGCACCGACAGAATCATGCTCACATTGCTCCATCTCACATTTATATGGTTTCCTGTCACTTAATTTCCTTTCGTAGCTGATATTCCTGAGGCACTTTTTGCCTGAGGTTTTAAATCCGTTGGATTATGTGATGTTTGCATAAGCTGCACCAGGAGGTTCTGCTGGGATTGTAATGAGACACACCTGGGTTTTCTTGGCTGTATGGGGGATGCTGTTCGTACGGCCACTGCACGGCCGAGGCAGGCAGAGGGGAGGCCATGCTTGTGTTTACCAGCTATACCCCATTGCAGCTCTGGTCTGATCTGCTGCAGAGCTTCACACACTAGGATTTTGTCACCCATACCAGCTGCTCAGTCTTTTATTTCCCCCTGAATATACTTTGTTTGGATAATCTTCCCCCAGTTGTTAGATATTTGCTATACATCTATAACTGGAAACTCACTGTGTTTCTTCTTACTTCTAATTAACCATGTAGATACCTTGTCATTTCTTCCTTCTCAGTGTGGGCTGCTCTTTCCTTGTGTTAGTAATGTTGGGATGCTATGCAGAAGGACCTAGGCAAGCTTGAGAATTGGGCCTGTGTGAACCCCATATGGTTCAACAAGGCCAAGTGCAAAGTCCTGCACCTGGGTTGGGGTAACCACTAGTATCAATACATGCTGGGGGATGAAGGGATTGAGAGCAGCCCTGTGGAGAAGGACTTTGAGGTACTGGTGGATGAAAAGCTAGACATGAGCCAAAAATATGCACTCACAGCTCTGAAGGCAAACTGTATCCTGGGCTGCAACAAAAGTATGGCCAGCAGGTCAAACCAGGTGATTCTGCCCCTCTGCTCTGTTCTTGTGAGACCCCACCTAGAGTACTGTGTCTAGCTCTGGAGTCCTCAGCAGAGGAAAGACATGGACCTGTTAGAGCGGGTCCAGAGGAGGGCCACAGAAGTCATCAGAAGTATACAACACCTCTTCTGTGAGAACAGGCTGAAAGAGCTTGTGTTGTTCAGTCTGAGAAGAGAAGGTTCCAGGTAGACCTTACTGCAGCCTTTCAATACTTAAAGGGGGCCTATCAGAAAGATGGGGACAGTCTTTTTAGCAGGGCCTGTGGTGACAGGACAAGGGGTAATGTTTTTTAAACTAGAAGAGGATATATTTAGGCTAGATATAATG